TAAAGTGTAAAATAGAAAAAAAGAGACCTTAGAGATTCTGAATGTCAAACGGAGAAGTTTATAACTATAATAATTACGGTAGTATAGGCCAAAAATGAAGATAATTACTTTGGAAAAAAAGACAGAAACTATCTATATGAAATGGTGTTTAAGTGATTCCTTAAATTCTTTTAAATGTAATTACACCAACAATAATACTTTAAGAGATAATTTTTAAATATATTTTTCCATAAGACATGGTTATATTTTATCATTTTGGGGAAGGCTTCAGCCCTCTATATATAACCTAAAGCAACATTTATAAGAATTTATAATCTATATTAACAGGAACTAAATTTTAAATAATTAGGGTAAGTGCAACAGTGATGGATAGCTAAGGAAATTTTTGTCTTTTTTTGGGTTATGCTGCCGTAATTTTTATAGTTATAAACTTCTTCATTTGACATTTAGAATCTCTAGAGACTCCTTTTTATATTTAACACTTTAAAATCGAAAAAATATTCAGTTATGCAGGCATAATCTCCATTTAAAAAAAAAAAAACACCTTTTTGCTCTAGTGATGGACACCCCAAAATTCAATTGTTCTAGTAATGGACAGAGGGTCCGTACCAGTAATAGACATACCTCATCAAAATTCTAAAATCTTTATTTAACTATAAAGATAAGATAAATTTTTAACTTACTCTTAGCAAAACTGTTAGTAGGAAGGTATGAAAAACTGATCTTAAGAGCACCATAGAAACAACAATGATACACATTTTAAAATTTTCTAAAAAAGTAGTAGGTGTAATTGTATATGATCTACGATTTTTCTAATTATACCTTAGCTTGCTGTTTTTTTAAGAAAAGGTGATCAATAAAATATTTTGGAAGGGGGAGATAGGTTTTTGCTCCATCGACTTTAGGGGGGGGGATGGGTACCCCTGAGTAGATATGTATGTTATTGGAATAAAGAATTAATTTTTTTTTTTAATACTCATTAAGATTTTTAGTTCAAAATAAATTTCTTGTTTTAACCACGCAAAACTCCAAGATAAATGGATTGCCATTGGATAAGCAGTTGTTAAGCCATGTTTAAACATTTCAGAAACACAAACAAAAAAGACAAACAAGAAACTCGGATTTTAATCGTTTCTGTGATTCTAGAGGGATAAACATGGCAGAAGTTGGTAGAGCATTTGCCGATTGTATTTACCTAAGCTGTTGTAATTTATAAAAGAAAAAAAAGGGAGCAAAATAAATTGATAGCAGACATAAAATTCCTGAAAAGATTGTGAATTCATTTAATTCGTATTAGGAATCAGTAAATTCAATATCTATCAAGCCACAAAATAGTCCACACAACAGAACTCTTTTAATCAAATTATTAACATTCCTAAATACAACTTTGTGAATGACTATATCTTATCATAACTTATAACTTTTTTATCTCAGGAAATTCTCAGAAATGGGGCATTTGCAAATACCCATTTGCTTTATACTTGAATCGTAACATAATTTGATCACAAACTGGAGACAACAAGTGGCCTTTAAAAATATTGAGCCGTTTGGCGTATATAATCTCTTAATTTTGGAGAGGTCACATCAAACGGCTCAATATTTTTGTAGGACACCTTTTCCCCGATTTTGTGAACAAATTACCTTACGATTCAAGTGAAAAGCGAATGTATATTTACAAGTTTTAGTAACTGATTAAATATACAAAGTTTTCTGATATCTTGATTGAAAACGCTCCATTTATGAGAATTTTCGTAAATAAAAAAAATAAGTCTGTGCTTTAGACCACACGATAGAAGTAAAAACATCAACAAGATCAGATAAGTTATATGAAATATAAATTATAAATAATAGCTCATTATAAAAAGGATGAACATTTCCCTCGCTTACAGTATGCAGATCCGATTTTAAGTTTCTGAGATATTTTAATCAATATTTTCCATAAAACTCGTTATCATTTGGTTTTCGATACTATTTTTGGTTTTTTTATTTTCAATAATGAACGATTGTGATCGACCAAAAAATTCAAAAACTTAAACCCCTCTAAAAATTTGAGGTTTCACGTTTCAGGATACGTAGAATTCGAAAAACGAATAAAAATTTTTTGTCCGTCCGCCGTCCGACGTCCGCGCAGTTTCTCCGAAACAACAGGACCGATTTTTGTCAAATTTGGATATAAAATCAGAAGTCACCCGAGGATGATCCTACTTCATTCACATTACTATCCGTTTTTTACTTTCAAAATGGCGGCTGAAAAACCTGTAGCACAGGCGGATCTACGGGGAGGGGAGGGGGCTTTCGGACTGAAGCCTCCACCCTCCCAAAATGGTAAAATATAACCATGTTTTCCAGTAAAAAATATTAAATACTATCCCTTAAAGTATTCTTGTTCGTGTAATTATATTTAATAAGATTTCAAGAACCATTTAAACACTATTTCATATAGGTAGTTAATTTCTTTCCTTTTTTTTTAAATTAATTATCGTTATATGTATATGAAAAAAAAATCTTTCGGGCTGAAGCCCCTCCAAAATTAAATCCTGGATCCGCTAGTGGACTGTAGTGCCTAAACGAATGTACAGATTTCAATGAAGCTTCGCTAAAGTCATTTCCTCGACGCCCTTTAAATTTATCTATATAATATATTTCAACGAAAAGAAGCTGGAAAAAAGTTACGAGTGATGGTAAAATTAAATTCTGAATAAATCAAAAAGTACACACATCTTTGTTGATATTGTATGTTTTTTTAAAAGTTTACAGAATTTCCTAAAAAAAAAAAAAATCATTAAAATCGGACAATTAGGAGGAAAGATATGGTTTCTAGTTTTTTTTTTTATATGTTCTACTGCAAATGTTATATCCTTTGTTTTGGTTTTTAAATTTTAAAAATTTTGAATGAACTATCCATTGTCAAAATGATACCTAAACCCACAAAGCCGCCAGAACACCCATCCTCTTACCGTCCTATCTCCCTTTTACCCATTATGGGCAAAATCCTGGAAAAACTCATTTTAAAACGCCTGTATCCCATCCTAGACTCTAAACACATTATCCCAGATCACCAATTTGGATTCCGCACATCCCACTCCACTATTCAGCAATGCCATCGTGTGGTAGATGTAGTCTCCTCTGCATTGGAGCGCGGAATGTACTGCACGGGAGTCTTTCTCGACGTTGAACAGGCGTTTGATAGAGTCTGGCATCCGGGACTGATGTACAAACTCCGTGAATTCCTACCACCTACATACTTCCTCATTATACGTTCCTACCTTACTGACAGATACTTCAAAGTCAATCATAACAATGCTTATTCATCTCTTTTTACTCAGTCTGCCGGTGTTCCTCAAGGTAGTATCCTAGGTCCTATCCTTTACACAGTTTATACAGCTGACATCCCAACCCAATCCAACACTGTCATCACCACCTATGCCGATGACACGTGTATCCTATCAGTTAATAACGATCCTTTAATTGCATCCCAAACTCTTCAATCACATATCACAAGCCTTGAAGAATGGTGTAAAAATTGGAGAATAAAAATAAATTCCAACAAATCCCATCAAATCACTTTTACCCTCCGTCGTAAACCTATGACCTCTTGTCCTACAGTATCCTTCAATAATACTCCACTTATTCCTGTTGAGCAAATCCGCTACTTAGGACTCCACCTTGACAAACGACTCACATGGAACCCCCATACCAGACTGAAACGACTAGAAACCGCCCGACGTTTTCGACTACTGCAGCACTTACTAGACAAACGATCTAAGCTTTCAATCAATTATAAACGACTCGTATATATGACAATAATAAGACCTATTTGGACTTACGGAATTGAGCTTTGGGGCTCCACTAAACCATCGAATTCCTCTCGTATCCAATCCTTACAATCCAAAATCCTTCGTAAAATCCTCAACGCTCCTTACTTTGTCACAAATAAAATCATCCATAAAGACCTTAATGTTCCATATGTTTCCGATCTGGCCCAATCTAGATATCTTTCCTTCCATAACAAACTGCAGAATCATCCGAATCCTCTCGTTTCAAACCTTGCTTCCTCCTCGATCCCTGATAACCCTCCGAGGCGTCTGAAAAGAAGATGGCCTCGGGATCTTCTAATATAGAACTTTAATTTGAGTTCTACCAATGGGTAGTTTCTCTTCATGTTGTACATGCCATGTTACAAATTTCTCATTTACTTATTGTATTCTCTATGTAATACAGTTGTAAATTCCATTGAAATAAAAAAAAAAAAAAAAAAAAAAAAAAATTTTGAATGTGTTATTGAAATAATGCTTTTTTTTTTTTTAAGCATATTACAAATGATTAAAAAAAAAAGTTTAGTCCAATAATTGGAATTACTTTTTATTTATTTTTCTTTGTAACTAGGAAGGTAATCTTAAGATGAAATTTATAATAATAGCTCATTACAAAGAGGATGAGATTATGAACATTTCTCTCGCTATCAATATGCACGTCCGATTTTTAGTTTTTAAAATAGTTTAATCCATGTATAAAATCACTTTAATTATTCGACTCCAGCCGACTTTATTCAAGTGTTACATGTCGGAGATTTGATGGCTCAATCTAATTCACTCTACACAAAAAAAAAAAAAAAAATGCAAAACACGTCTAAAGAAGTTTTTTCTTAAAAAGAAAATTGGATTACGGTAAGATGAAGACATTCGCAGTGTTAGATGGATATTAATAATTTGATAAAAAGGGGCTTGTCGTTAGCACAATTTTTTTTAGATTTCTCTTGAAAAAAAAAAACCGATAGAGAAATCTTAAGAAGGATGCAAATACCTTAAAGAAACATCCAGTTTACACATTCCTATTTCCTATAGTTTATGAAATGTGTCACAGGTTTTGCTAGCTTCAGCCCAGTGCTACATTTCTGGCATCTTCTTATCAGTAAAGTAAAAAATATACTTCAATTTTGGACAAAAGACAAAGAGGTTATTAATTAAGTTGTTATGGAAACACAATTGAACATCTGTTACCTTGGGAACTTGAACTGGCCGTCTTCACAGCCCTCTGACCCGATAGTGGAGATGTGCCTCCCATTGACGTCGAACACCTGGACCCTGTGGTTGTTGGAGTCGGAAACCAACACCCTGTTGGTGTTGGAGACGGCGATGTAGTGGGGGTGATCAAGTTGACCTACGCCCCGCCCGTGGCTGCCGAACTTACCGACGAAAGTACCGTCGGACTGGAACACCTATAGAACAAAATATGTACATAATATGTATTGCAAGTACCAAAATATGTATTGCACAGGCGTCGCAGAGTGGTCAAAACAAAAAAAATCGGCATGTTGTTCTTCCAGGCAAAATATTTATATTTCTTTCATATGAACTTTGACATTACAGTTCGTAAAGAGGATTTAAGTACCTACTGCGAAAAAAAGTTTTTAGGTATTTTCCAAACTAATGAAAATTTCAATTTTTTTTTTCAAGCTATCTCACAGATAATTTACTTCTGAGAAGAAAATATTCTATTAATTTTTTTGCGAAAACCCCTAAACAAACGTGCAAATTAGCGATTTTAAAATTGTAATATCTTTCAATGGGGAACTGGTTATAGAATATGAATTATTTCATTTTGACAAGCATGTAACAATTAACAAAACCCATCTAATTTGGTTAGGTTCTAGTCAAAATCCAGCTGAGATATCGACATTCAAAGTTTTTCATTTATTACTCAATATAACTTTTAAATCTTCTACCTAAAAGTGCCAATAATTTATACAGGGTGTTTCAGGGTTAAGCGGCCAAACTTAAAATATGAATTAAGGACATCAAAATAATAGAAAAGAAATCCTACGAAGATATGTTCGCAAACGTTTTGTTTAGGAGATATTCACACCTAAAGATTTTCGTTGTTATGAATTATTGTTGATAAATATTCAGGATGCAGTCATTATAAAGCTTTTATTAGTGCCGACGTTTTAACCCAAACATGTGGGTCATCATCAGGGCGTGTAGTAGTGAGTACTCGAATACCTTCAGAGCTCGAAACACGCCCCAACGAGGACTCATATTGCGATGTCAGGAAATCACTTCAGGAAACAAATGAGGCTATATTGATAAACGTTTACACTACTACACAAAACACTTTTATTCCCCTACATATACATCACACTATCAGGAACAAAGGACTACTACTGTCTGGGTAACCTCACCCAAGCCAACCTGTCTTGTTTACAACAGCTACAGTGCTGCCAGATAGAATGCATTAACTCTACACATATGTTTGGGTTGAAACATGGGCACTAATAAAGACTGTATAATGACAGCCTCCTGGATTTATCACCCATGATATGTAGAACAATCGACTAACTTCCTTCAATGAATTATTTAAGTTATATGAAATAAATAAAATCTTGAATATTCCACTACAACTGAGGAGGGACATGTGGCTTCAATTAGATGGTTGTCCTGCACATTAAGGAAGAGATCCACCACAATGGCTAAATGTTAATTATCCCAATCAATAGCTTGGTCATGCAGGACCAGTGGCTTGGCCTGCACGCTTTCCAGACCTGATACCACTGTATTGTTTTGTTTGCCAGAAGGCATCATGCAATATTTTCTATTTCTTCATTAGTCTAAATATATCTAAAATAAATTTCAATTAGTATTATCCTTAGAGATATTTAAATGATCTAATTATTCAGGACTTAAAGTTTTATTTCTTTTGCTATATCTGTATGTTTTTTTCTACAGAAAGGTAAATATGGGTCAGAAGATAAAAGTAATTTATTACACCGTTGTTTGTTGCTGATCTGTTCATTTTTCTTGTATGGTTTTCCCTAACTTTTTGGTGACATGTTTGTTGAACTTCCTCCGATAATTGACTTATTGGCAGGAGCTCGTTTTTTATAAAAAGTGAAGCATGTAGTAATATTTTATGTACAGATGCAGGCATGAAGGAAATACAAAAATTTTGCGTGGAAGAACAAAATTTTAAGTTTTGACTACTGTGCGTTGGTTATTTTCGAGAAAAAAAAATGTGATTAAGCGATTCTAACCTGTACCCTGTGGTTCTCCTTATCACATACGTATATGAAGCCAAGGGCGTCTGTCGTCACTCCCCACGGGTAATTGAACTTGCCGTCTGCCGTACCTTGTGATCCGAATGCTCGCAAGAATCTGCCGGACGGATCCATAACCTGTTAAAAAGAAAATTTATTATAATTAAATAGTTGATTATGACGATTTGATAGATAAATAGTACGATCCGCTGACCTGAATCCTATGATTGTAACGGTCTGCAATGATGAATTGCCCTATCCTGTTGACGGCAACGCCCGCTAAGCAGTCGAATTCCCCTTCTCCGTTGCCGTAACCTCCGAACTCTTTCTGAAATATGCCATTAGAATCGAACACTTGGACTCTGTGATTGGAAGAGTCCGCAACCGCTATGATGTCCCCGGGACCGGTGGCGACACCTCGCGGCCACGTGAAGCATCCTGTCTCGCTCCCCCTACTCCCCAGGCTGAACACCTGGCGTCGTTTATTCAAGTACTTACTTCTAGTACTTGTATCGACTCCGAAACCTGAAAGTAAGCGTCGATTTAAAAAAAAATATATATAATAATCATCATAATAATTAAGTAAATTAGTGATTGCTTGACTAACCTTGATGAAATGGAGGGTGTTGAGTCGGTGAAGTGGGGGAGCCTTGTGTGTTTTTTGTCTCCTCTTCGGGATCTGAGCGGAGCGGGAGGCCTAACGAGAGCCTCCTCGAGTTGGAGGACATGGTGTCCTTGTTGCGGGAGCCATACTTGTTCTTGAGGTACCTGGCCCAGGAAGAGAGTGCAGCACCGTCTTTCTCACCTGGAGCTGTGCTGCTGCTGCTCGCCAGTCCGCTACTTGAACTAGCTGCTGACAAAGAGATATATTTTTAGACAAGTTTTGAAGAGAATCCAAAGATGTAAAAATGTCTAATGTGATAATTACCCGATGGCTCTGGACTTGTCTCTCTCGACTTAATGGCGTGGCTGGATCTGGACTTGGCGAGTGATGTCCCAGGGCCGTACCTGCTGGCCAAGTAGGCGGAGGGTGTCATCGGCTCTTCGTCGTCGTCGTCGTCCGCGAGGCTGTGGGAGCTCTTCGATCTGGCCAGTCTAGCCTTCCGATCCTAAGATAAAACATCATTTTAAAGTAATTGATTACTGGCTAAGTACACTCGAAGGTTCATCAAATTCTGGCAAAACCTAAATCCGCAAGGTCATCCCTAAAATAATCTTCTCTTCAACGTTTCGATGCAACACTAGGACATTTTGGCCATTGCAGAATAGTCAAGGATGGATTGATTCTACCGTTGATCGTCACAGCCTATGTATGATGAAGCTTACGAGACCACAACCAATAGCCAAGGATGAGAAGCATTGTAGGTGGGTTTCAAGGGTTATGCAGCTCCTTGACTTCTATTGCTTTCTGATTATTACCAAACTGATTTTTATACAGATAAATTTTCTAACTAAAGGTTATAACGCTAGAAACTATCGAATAACAATTTCCAGGAACAGAATGGCTCCCATGTATATACTGATGTTTCTGCACTGGAAGTGAATTTTTTTCACAGGAATTTCAAATTACCGTCCCGCTGGGAAGGTTAGCCACAAACCTTGAAGGGGGAGTGGGAGTCATTCTCTTAGGCCTTGAGAGGTTAATTGAACGGAAAGACAAGAAAGTTGATTTATTTGTTGACTCACAGGCAACCATTTCGTCTCTTAAAAATGGATATAATATAAATCCAAATATCCATAAATACCATTTGTATCTGGACCAATTAAAAGAAAACTGAACAGAAGTCGCTTTCCAGTGGATACCACTCCATTGCCTGCTCCACAGAAATGACGAGGTTGACAAATTGGCCAGATCATATCTGGAATGATCCAACCAGATATTCCTCTGGGTATGGATCCAACTAAAAGAATAATAAAAAAGGTCCTCCAAAGTTCACTGAAGGAGAAATATGAACAAAAGGAAAGCAATGTAGTGGATTGCTGGAAGAAAGTGGCAGGATCCCAAGGGAACTCCCTACAAGGCAATCCGTGGCGTGCTTTGGAACGCTTACAGGACACGATTTTCTGCAGAAGCACCTCCACTGCATCGGTATAAAAAATAGCCTGGCATGTCCTCTGTGGATATGATTACAGGAGAACATCTTGATACCCTGCATTACCGGACATAAGGTGTTCGTTTAGTGAAACAAACAAGTCTATGCTAGGAGAGCTAAATTATATTGAACTGCAAGATTACACATGGATGATCAAGCAGGCATTATTGAGGCATAGGAAAAAAAAACTTTTCTAGAAAACCGTTAAATTATAATCTAAAACGGTTTATATGAAAACAGTTATTTTTTTTTTTTTTGTAAATATATTCATTGCTTATATTTAAGAAATTATTTTAATTACACTGCTTGCTGTCATGAATTTACCACAAAACTAAATTATTGAGGTTCAACTTGAGTTGTCTATGAGGATACATGATGTTCTGTTATGGATTTTATCGCTAAGAGATATCGTAATAATATATTCTTATCATCAATAGTCGATGAAGAACTGAAATTATTTTAATCAAAGCACTGAACGTTGTGGAATGATGTCGCTCTCTTGACGATTCCTTGACGAATCAAACACATCATACATGCATGGCTTGGTCAACCTCCCGTTAGTGGACTGCTTACTCGTTTGTTCATTATAAGTCATGAATTCTTTTGAATAAATGTTGACATTTAACGGTTGTTTTGAACTTATTAGATTAGCAGTGCTTGCTTCTTTGCCAACGATAAATATGAAATTCAAAGTGGAAGAAAATCGGAAGACCATTGAAGGACTTCACATCAGGTAAGCCTCGGGTAGAGAGAAATGAAAATAAAATTGATGAAGATATTAAGATCTAGAGATACCACGTTAGTGGCAAATTTTTCATTAAAAACAAAAAAGAAAATCTAGATAGATTACCTTAAGGGCAGCATATCTGGACTTGGACCCAGCAGGTTGAGAGGCCGTGTTGCTGGTGGAAGATGCGCTGGAGCCGAATCTCCTGGTCGTGCCGGGATCTTCTTCGTCCGGAGAGACAGCAGCTGCGGATTTGGACTTGTTGAGAAACCTACTGGTGAAACCAGAACTGGTACTGCCGTACCTATGGGAAATAAGTTTGTTTTATTATAGTATTGTATAGGCTACTTCAAAGAAAAATGTCTAATAAATAGAGAGTCAGTTTAGATTCGTTATAACTTTTATAGCTCACATAGTTATATATATTTCAAGCTCTATGATTTGTCATTGGGGATTAAAATCTACAGGCCGAATTTTGAAGATAAAACTCAGGTGCACTTAGCACTTTATTCAATGGATATCGAATGAGAGTCAGTCTAAAGCGAGGGTATGTGACTCTCATTGGGGTGAAGTCAGTTGGAGTCGACTTATATTTGAATCTGAATAGAGCTATCACAGGAACAGAAAATCGAGCCTGCTTACCATAAGCGAGAGAAATGCTCATAATTTTAGCAATTTATTCAAAATTAAATGTTGACGCGACCCCGAGTTAGAGAGGCAAAAAGGAAAATAGATAGTGTAAAAAACAAAATGATAACAATGTTTTTGAAGCAAAACTTCTTTAGGCGCATTTCGCATTTTGTGTGTGTGTGTGTGTGTGTGTGTGTGTGTGTGTGTGTGTGTGTGTGTGTGAAGAGTTAATTAGATTGAGAAGTCAGATTTTCGAAGTGTACACGCGGGTAAAGTCAACTGGGGTTAATTAATTGAAGTGTTTCTGCATATAGTTAAAAATATCTCAGAAACTAAAAATCGGATCTGTATACTATAATTGAGGGAAATGTTCAGCATTTCATTCTGTTTCTGATGAGCTATTATTCAAAATTGTATATTGACGTGACGCCGTATTAGAGAGGCAAAAATGGAAAAATATAGTGCCAAAGATCAGAACGAATTCCATAATAAATATTGTCACTTTAAATATGACAAATCATACTAAAATAATTAGATTATACGATCATCACATATTTTATTTACCATAAATGTTTCATTTTTAGAGTATGATGCTGACTGAGTATCATACTCTACTGCAAAGTTTACTAGAATAATTCAAACACAATTGTATACACAGTCAGTACCGCTCGTTTCTACGATCCTCCTGGTTAAAACGGATGCGGCCCCTTGACCTTTTGTAACATGTATACAGGATGTATCAGGATTATGTGGCCAAACTGAAAATATGAACTAAGGACCCCAAAACAAGAAAAAAAAATCTATGAAGATATGTTCGCAAAAGCTTTGTTCAGGAGATATTCACACCTAATGATTTTCGCTGTTATGAATTATTTATGTTATATTAAGTAAATAAAATCTATTTATTTGTTTCAACTACTTTATTAATTAAATGTAAACATTGAATTCATATTAAATGTTGTTCAAAGATTTCCTTGAGCAGTAAGACAGGCTCGGCATCTTTCTTCAACAGCAGCAGTGGCAGAACGGCACTGGATATCTGTTATTGTTTCACAAGATTCAATTATCCTTCTTCGTAAGGAATTAAGGTCATCATCAAAATATTGTAATATGGTCGCACTCCTTTCTTCATTTTGTAAAGGGGTAAAAATACCATCAGCAAGTGGTATTATAACAAATTTACTAGTCTTTTTGTACTCTCACTTGCGGACATACCTTCAGAGGAAATGTTTTTCTTGTTTTGAGGTCCTTATTTCATATTTTCAGTTTGGTTACTTAACCCTGAAACACCCTATGTATTAGAGTTCTAACAATGGCCAGATTCTCCACTGAAGCCATGAGTGTCTGTGGCAGTAGTGCCTTAGTCAGCCTCGGCTGCCTTTTAATGGCAGTGAAGAAGTGCATGGATCTCCCGAAGCCTCGCTTTTCCCTCCACAAGTGAGGGCACACGTATAGTTTGGAGTTTTCCTCGCTGATTGTAAATAGTGAATATAGGTATGCCTGCTTCTATGGTGTTTATTTTATTTATTTATTTTTATTTTATTATTATTTTCTTCCTTCATTATGATATTTTATATTGTTATTTTGGTGTATATTATTTTCTTATTTATTTTAGATTCTGTAAATATGGCGTGAATGTGCTCTCTGAACTCTATTATAAATTTCCTTAATTGAGACAAGATGTAACACTTAATCAATAAACAAGTGAAAAACTAAAAAGAAAAGTTTTTTAAGACTGATCTTTATCTTTCCTTGATGTACAACGGTCAACCATTAGGAATTCAATATTAAATATGTACGTCATTCAGCAAAATTAATAACGTTCTTTGCTTTTGTCAACAATCAAAACTTTAAATTGAAATGATCAATTGTCCATTTAAAAACTTGTACACAAAACCGCCAAATAAAACAAACAGCAACAAAAGCAGAAAGCACAATAGTTGGCGGAATATTCGTTCAAAGACCGCTGACGAAAAACAAAACGTTTCCCTTAAACAAAGACCACCATTCCTTCCCTAAGGGAAACTCCTATTGCTCGAATAAGAAAAGTTTCGTGGGAAGTGAAAAATGGTGTTTATTCCTCTTTTTTATTTTAATTTATTTTTCCCAAGGATTCAAGTAAGTTTTTCTCATTTCTGACATTTATATTAAACCCCGGAAATGCACTTAGCGGCTTCGGAAAAGTTCTCGACTTCAAAGTTTTCGAAAGGCGGGAAATTTCTTCTTAATAACGAAACGTTTGCTAATCTGATTCCTTGCTCGTTTTTCTTCATTACTGTTCTTGTAAGCACAAAAAGTCAAGAAGGGGAGGGGATAAATGAAGTGTAGTTTACTTCAACCGACAATTAATCATTCATTTCATAAATGAAAATAAATATTTATTTCTGGGATTAAAAAACATCAATGTATTTTTTTTTCTTTTACACACCCACACATATATATGAAATATATAGAAAAGAAAATATAAATTTTTAGTTTACTCCAGCCGACTTTATCCGAGCGTTACACATAGGAGATATGACGGCTCGATCTAATTCTCTCTCAATAAAAAAAAAGGACTAAACGCGTCTGAAGAAGTTTTCCCTTCAAAAATATATTGTATGGCTCCTATCCTCATAGTAACAGAGAGATTACAATAATAGATTAATATAAGTTCAGAGTTAGCTTTATCTTATTTTATATACTTTACATTTTGTCTGCTGAATAGACAATCTTGATAATTATTGTATTATATGGCATACCAGAGGTTTCCAAACAGCGGCCAGCAAATATTTCTTTGATTACATTGTAAACTTTTAAACTATGAAATTCAGTAACTTACTCAAACAGAAGGTTACAAAAACTTTTATTACATAAGTTGTTTCTCATAGAAAGCTTTATTCACAGTTGGAGAGTCATTTTTAAATTTTTTTTTTTTAATCACTAGCTTTGGGGAAGTCTCAAAGTTTTACCCAAACATGTTTTACTGATTTTTGCTTACAAAGAATAAATTAGGGAAAATTATTCCTGTTTAGGTAACTTTTAATTAAGGCAAGGCAAATAATTCTAATGAGTTCAAAATTGCCAATATTCAAATTATTGGCAATATTTTAATTATTTGTGCAGTGGACTGTATTTTAAAAATTTGTAGGTTATACGAATTGTGCAAGAACAGCTTACTATTTTTATGCTGGCTTAAGACATTGGTTACCTGAGGGCGCTCAGAGAGCATCTGTTATCTCTGGCTATCTGTGATGAAATGGGCTGAGTGAAACGACGCTCGTACGGATTAAATGTTATCTTTTAGATATGATCTGCCCCCCCACCACTCGCCGTAACGAGGAAATTTGAAACTATTTTCGCACAATTTATTGTGAGAGCTTTCACTGGAGTAAATTAGTATTTGATAGTTTGATAATGTGTAGAATATTACTCATAAAAATAGGTGATAAGATATTTACTCAATTTTTATGTTTTGCATCAGATTATAACACTGGAAAGATGCATCTAGTGTATTATTTATATTTGAGGGTGGCGTGGCATAAACATTTTGCATGAATTATGTAAGGAGCGTAAGGAGTGGTTAGTGCTAAGTGGCCTGTAGTTTAGGATGGCATCGAATAATGGCGGGAGGGCACTCGAGGGAATTCGCTTACTTCAGGGTTGTCCTTGTTCCCGGCGAGTCGATACTCTCATCTCAGTCTCTTCTTTCGAGCTAATCAATCAACCCTTTCAAAACACACTTGCTGCATTATTTATTTTAATTTATGATAAATAAAGTGCATACACTTTTATTTATTTCAACATTTTACGCCATTTGCACTTGCAGCCCACCTAGCAAATTTGATATGTTTATCATTAGCTTGATTAGCTTTTTCTTGTTATTATTGAAGAAGTAGATCCCTTGGCCATTTTCTTTTCATACTGCGTCGATCAGTTAACAAAGAACGGGAAATAGAAAGGACTAATGAATTGAAGTGATTTAGAGTTGAATAATGAACTGATGTGTATTTGTCGTGGATTTAGGATTTTACTGTTGGGATGTTTAAGTTTTTATATACAGTATTATTTGAAATGCAACAAGGTGCGTTGACAATTTTTCGTAGAATTTTCAATTGTATTTGTTTTGCCCCCTTGTATGGTGTTGTAGATCATTGATTTTTTTCGTAAGTTAAGAGAGTATCTGAAGTCCAGAAGACGTGAGATTTCCTTATATTGACTAGCCAGTTTTGTCTTTTTAATTTAGTATGTATGTTCCAGGTTATTATTTTGTCTAAGTAGAGTCCGAGAGACCGTAAATAGTTTTTTGAAGGCACTGTCAATCGTTATGGGTGGACGTGAAGCTCTCTTCAGAGAGAAAGTCACATGGGTGGATTTGCTGCTGTTTATTCTATTTTTCCATTTTTCGAACTTTTTTGATCACAGAGGTGGATTTGAAGAGCAATCGATGCGATAGTAGGATTTGGTACTTGTCGGTTAGCCGGACAGGACCGACTGCTATCTGCCAATGTTTATAACCTCAACACTGATAAGACTTCTTATAATTCCTATCTTCGTATCCATATGTATTGTACTATATTCATATTATTGAAATTGTAAACAAAAACGAAAACAAATGTAATAATAACAAAACAGTTTGGCTTGAAATTGAAATAGACAAAAAAAAATGTAATAATAAAAAAATGAAATAATAAAAACCACTTTAACAACATATGTACACAAAAAAGAAACACCATAAACAACATATGTACACAAAAAAGAAACACCATAAACAACATATGTACAATTTATTTTCACTTCACCTTATTTATTTTGGTAAGCAGAATAGTTTCGTAACAAAAAGAAACAATGGAATGACTCAGAGTTTTCACGAGATAAGAAGAGAGGTTATGTGATTAATATCAGATAACAAGGGAGGTTTCTTCCAGACTTCCTAACAGACAAGTACCAAGGTTTTTTGTAGGAAGGAAGAAGTGTAGTGTTATCAGCAAAGCAATAGATTGTGGTGCTAGGGATATCAGAGGTGTATAGTGAATGCGAATGAAAACTCTACACGTTTCGTCATTTGGTCACGATATTCTGTTGTTTAATCTTCTTTATTTTCTATTAGACTCATCTTATTTCAGTCTAAATCTTTTACAAAATAGATGATTTCAAGGTTACAAGCTGTCTTAAACATTATCTTGAGATTGTATGTTCCTCCTGTTGTAGAATATGGATTAGAAATTAAGATCAGAAACCTTTCAAAAAATTGGATGCATTGAAAAATCAGGCGCTGCGAAATACAACTTGTGATAAATCAACACTTATTGGCTATTTAGAACTGTTGTCTGAAAACCAGGCAACTTTTTTCAGATATAATATATTAGGTTTTTAATCTGCAGAACTTTTTGGGACGTAGTCGTTGAAGGATACGCTTTGATACAAATTAGTATACATAGGGAATGTTATTATAATACAATTATACAAAAATCATGGGTACCTTGTGGATGCAGGAGCTTCGTCCTCTGTGCTTGTGTTATTAGCAGCAGTTCTGGTCCGCCAGGGAGCAGCAGCTGTTGGTGTGTCCTGTTGGTAGCTAGTGGGGGTTCGAGTGGTAGGGGAACGTCTAAAACATATAGAAATGATATCAGGACTTGGAAAAAAGAACATTATATTTGGTAATCCGGTACTTATTTAATAGCGGGTAGCGTCAAAACCTCCCTTCTTATCTAATCTCATTTCACATAACCTCCCTTATCTCAAATAACCTAAGTTATTCCCTTGTTTATTTTTTGTTTCTTGTGTTAGCTGTGAGTTATTGTTATTTAATTATGGATGTTGTCACATTGTGGGAATTTCCTTCTTCAGAATAAGAGGCTATAAAATATTTTCAAGACGCCGGAATATTTGCAAAGGTCAAATATTGTGATGAAGGCAATCAAATGAAGTTCGACGGGAAGATTAAATGGAGGTGCTAATACCATAAAACTATTTTCCTTACCAAAATAAATCAATGAAATAAAATTTTTCATATTTTGTTTATTTCGTTTCTTCAAGTGTTTCTTTAATATGTACATATGCTGTTTAAGTGTTGTTGTTTTTTTATTATTTTATCTATTTTTGTCTATTTTTTGCCTATTATTATTATTTCATTTATTTTGATATATATGTTGCAATGTTTTTTAATTATATATTTATGTTTTGGTCTATTTTAATATATATGTTGTAAAATAAAAATATTTTTTGTTATTACATTTGTTTTTGTTCACAATTTCAATAATATTAATACAATACAATAAATATGAATACGAAGATATAATAATATGAATATAATACAATAAATATGAATGCGAAGAGCTTGTCAGTGTTAAGATTATAAACATTGGCAGATAGCAGTCGGACGCTACCAGCTATTAAATAAGTACCGGTAATCCGATTGTCAAATTATATCATTCATTACTAACTTTAAGTTGGAGTAGTCAGACATTGAACATTAGATGTTTCATTTATGAATGAGTGGTAATTAGTGTTAAACAAAGCAGAATGATGAAGTATATTGATGAATTGATATGATGAAGTATATACTCACGTGGGAGAGTAAGTCTCATCCCTGCTGGACTTGCGAGCCTGTGCAGACCTCGCCAATAGTGGTCCGATGTCACTCTTATCTCCAGTTGCCACTGCCTGTTCTTCGCTGGACTCTTCACTGGAGTCTGTCTCTTCACTGGAACTGCTTTCCTCCTCTTCTTCCTCCTTCGTAGCACTCACTGGGGCTGGGGTGGTTGTGGTGGTTAGTGGTCTACCTACTCCTGCAATAGTCAGGGAAGGGTTGAGTGAAATGTCAGAGGATCTTCCGGTTAGAAATAACGCAAAATAAGGTTAATTTAAATTTATTATTTTATTTTAAAATGGAAGGATCATTTTTATCATTCCTTAGAAAGATCAATAAACATGTGTCCAGAAACCATTCTGATGCTTCTATTTACATTTCAAAATGTTTTGGGGTTCAATATATATATACTACCTCACAGTTAAATAATTATAAAAGAAAATCCCTAATTCTGTAAATAAAAATTTCACCTCATTAGATTTTAAGGTTTAACTTTAAAATATAGTTAACTAGAATTTTATAGTAATTATCACAGAAAAAAAAAGGAAAATAATCATTATTAAACAAGAGGATTCAGTAAGTGCTGATAAATTGCATCTTAATTTTTTATTAAAATTGATTTGCAAGGAAACGGTTATTATAATAAAAACGAAACTGTCTACTGGCTATTCATTATTTATAATTCATTAATAGTTTTTAATTTTTTTTTCCTTTAAAATATGTTACAAATTATCGTAGGATGCAAATTAGTTTGATTGGGTGGTTTAAATTTGACAAATATCTATGTTAAATACTAGATACATTTATTGTTATGTTTTGGATATTTAATTATGATTAAATATTAAATGTATAATTCCATGCAATTTCAAAAGATTTTGTAATTAATTCATTTTTATATTTTGTATTTTATATTACAGATTACGTGTTCTTTCAATTCTAAATTTTACTTTAAAAAACACAAATAAAAATAAACTTTATACTTTTAAAATATATTAAGTAAAATCAATGTAATGTAAGCAACACTGTTATAAGAGTGTGATTTAAATAATCGACATAATTTTTTATGTTGAAATTTCATAATGTTTAGGTAATGCAGTGATTCAAAGCAATATAAAAAGTTTATGTATCAAAATAAAACCTTTATTGAAGCCTTGGATGAAATGAAGTTTCTAGCATGTCTTATGCAAGTGTTTTTTTCTTCAAATGAAAGATTAGAAAACAATATTGTTGGAGGTGTGAACAGGAATAATACACAGCAATGAAACATAGCGTTTTATATGTGACTAAGTTTTAGCTTTAATTGTAACCTGCCATCATCATTGATTCTTGTTACAAACTTGAATAGATTACTCTAATATAACTGGTAACTAGAAGTTAGTCTACCCAAAAATGTTGGGTGTATATTTCTGGCGCCCAAACGCTTACATCAAGTAAGCCTAATATGTTTCAGAAATGAACTATAGGCAGCAACTATCATGCCTACCTATAAGAACATAACTACACCCACTACTTTTAAGAGATTCTTTGAAGCAGCAATTTTTATTTCTATTGAAAAAGTAACTAGATACAAGTTGGATCGAATTGTCTACCATTTGTGTGAACTGAAATTTGTTCGTAGACTATTCCCGATGCTGAAATATGGAATGTACTGACACTTTTTAAAAATAATTGTTTATAATTTGGGCTTTATATACATATATTTTTTATTTAATAATAACTTTATTGCCAAAAAAATCATATGTTTTTTATAAGATGTAAAAGTTATTGTTATTATTGAAAACTTGTCAGTTTTATTTATTTACATATTTAAATTATAAACTAATACAAATGAAAAAAAAAAACTATTCATAAATTTTTGTTTTCTAGAAAGTTATTATTATTATTAAAACAAACCCTTTTCTTAGAAATGGTTTTTATATTCTGAAACATTAAAATATGGAACATTTATATCTACCTATTTAATATTGGTATGTCAATATATATTGACATTAGTTTATGGAGTTATTCTTCAAATTTGGTAAAACAATTATATTTTCATCACTTGCATAATTTCACATACTAAGTTATGTTGTACAAGACAAGTGAAATTTTTAACTCAATACAAAATTTGAAAACAATTCAGTTATTGGACTATGTAACCAACGAGGACCAAAGGCTTTCTAGTAGTTTAAACATATTATTGAAGCATCATAACAAAATATTTTATTGCATTTAGGCTCTGTACAATTTAGTATGTTAAGGAAATTTCGATAATATTGTTTGATACCTGAATCTATACTATTTACGATATTGTGCGTGTCCATAGCTTGGTCAGTACTCTAGAGCGCAGCAACCTGCTGATCCACACTATTATTACACACTGATCCATTTCTACACATCCTCACCACTAGCAGAAGAGATCCAAGATGGAATTAGAAGTGATTTCATATTCACGTGATGCTATTGCAAAACGACTGTATTAAAACTGTTAACTATTCACTTAATTGTCATTGACAATAATGAAACACTGTAAATACGGTCAAATTAATTTTTAAAAAAGATTAATTTTTTTGTATAGGAAATAAAAAAGTTTTAATATAAGATATAAAACATTTATATCTAATAGAAAAAATAATAAAAATATCTGATTGCTTTATTAATATAAATGAGCACTTTATTTTCTAAGTGAACCCTAATGAATATTGAAAATTTTTCAATAAATCCAAAAATTGTATTTTCTATTCCAATTGTAAAATAAACATCATCATTTAAAAAAAAAAATTCTTTATTTGTAGAACATATTTCCAAATATCATTGATTACTTTAACAGTAACTAAAAAATTTGAATCATAAATAGGATACATTTCTGGAATACATTAAACTTTAAGTCCCGTTCTGGATGAAAAAGGGAGGAAGGGAGAAGTTATTAAAATTGCACTATATGAATTTAGGATTTTTTTTACATTAATGGAACTACAAAAATTTTTTAAAATTATTTTTACTTGATTTAAAATGTTAAAAAATGCTTTGATCAATATTTTTTTTTTAAAGTACATATATATATCAATACAATGAAAAACATTGTATTTCTTGAAAGAAAAAAAGAAGGTTTAGGAAATTTACTTATTTTCACCATATTTATTTAATATAAAAATAATTTCTTCATCGGATTCATTCAGTGTTTTGATCTAATCCATATTTATCTAGACTTTGAAAAAAATATATTACGGTTCACTTGGAAAAAGTACTGTTTAGTTCTTTTGGAAATAAACAACTAAAAGAAAACCTTCATATTAAATACAATGAATATTTATTAATTTATTTCAATATTAAAACACCTTACTAATGCAAGGAGTTTAAATTAAATAAAAAAATAAAAATTTTATCTTGGATCTCTTTCTTTCTTCTGTTTTTCAATATTAAAATTCATTAATATAAAGTAAAGTAAATGTTAATGCTGAATGTATGACAATTTTTGAAGTATAAAATGTTACACAAAACATGCAAATATAGCAAACACAATACTAAACATAAATACCGCAATACACATAAGCTGGTTATAAAATATATTAATTAACAAGCAGCCTATAAATAAAATTATTTTTAATTTTTAAAAAATTGAGAATTAATTAGAATTTAGAAGAACTATCAGCAAATTAATTATTATTTATAATTAAAATCAACCTATCCATTTTATAGAATATTATTAAAAAAACAAAAATGTGTATTATATTCAATTAGTGTGATTATCAATTTAATTATATATTTGCATCCACTTTATCTTATTAGAAATTAAAAATGAATGGTTTTATTATTAAATTTATATACCCAAGAAGTGTTTTGGATTCAGTACTGCGTAAGGAAGTACTGTTTCTTGGTCAAAGGTTGTGCAAGGTGGTGATTGGGCCGAGATCACACTCAACCACCAGGTTTTCCCCCTTAGGCAGATAATTAATTAATTAAGAGCAATCTTTTATAGAGGCTGGGTGTGCAACAGAATAATCATCTTCCACTGCCAGCTTAAACCTGAACCATTAACAATAGTAGCACAGTGCCCTACTTACTTAGTAAGTCCGTTTCTATATTTAAGAAATAAATTAATAAAACAAACTTATTTGTAGTTTTTTGCTTGCTTTTCTTTGGAATTGATTAAATGTCTTTAGATTGACTCTCTTCAATTTATATCATGTTTTAATAACATTAATAGTACTAGTGGCAAACGTAAGAGGGCTGCTTCACTCTTGGCCCCATTTTCTAAAGGACTACATAATAAAAGTTTTATGATTTATTTTATTGATATAAAGTACCACTTTCGGTTAGCCGATTTCGATGATAAAGGTCCTGTAACATCCCAGACAAATAAAAGTTTTAAATATGTAATTTCACTTTTGTACGATTTTTCGCTAGACACACACACACACACACACACACACACACACACACACACACACACACATGAGACTGTACTTTTCATTATCAGAAAGAAAATTGAGACTATCTCTGTCACATTAGGTGGGCACGAGATTCGTTCTCAGCCATATCTGAAGTACAATGCGCAAACGCAGTATATCAGCGCTAAAGCTTCTAGAGTCATGTCCTTATTATCACGCCTTATGCCGAATGTAGGAGACCCTACAGAGAGCCGCAGAAGGCTTCTTGCTACTGTTATATCTTCGATTCTTTCACAAGAAGCTCCAATTTGGAAAGAAGCAACACTCACAGAATCATATCGGAGACAGATGGTTTCGGTGTATCGCAGAATTCTATTAAGCAGTTTGTGTAATGACTAGTATACCACCTCTTGAACTGTTAGTTGATGAGAGAAACAGATCCTACAGTAGAAGTTCTAGAGTCGCAAGGGAAGAAGAACGGAAAATAACCATCAACTTTTGGCAACAGCGATGGAATACTGCTGACACTGGAAGACGGACCTATAGATTGGTGTCCGATATTAGCTCATGGTGTGGTCGTCAACATGGTGAGGTGGACTTCTATGTGACCCAACTGTTGACTGGACACGGGTGCTTTAGAGTCTATAAATGCCGTTCAAATTGGATAACACTGATGAATGTCCATGCAGTCGAAGAAACGGTAGAACACGTGTTCTTTTCATGCAACTGCTTCGACGTGGAAAGAAAAGAATTGGAAAATGGGTGTGGAGTGAATGTCACTCCAGAAAATCTTTTGACACTTATGTCGCAAACGGACAAACATTGGGAAGCTTTGAAGTAGTTCGCCAAAGATGTCCTGAAGAAATTGAGAGAGTAAGAAATGATCAGGATAGGCCTATAGCCAGAAGATAAATGACTGCAAAAAATGAGGCTGCAAGTTACCATTTCCCTCCATGAAGTAATGCCTAAAACGGAGGTTCTGTGGATGGAAATGAATAGGTGAAGGGAGGTTGGTTTTAGCGGGTGAATCCGGGACCCTTCAAACTATTGAAAACTAATTTAACTAGTCTGTTGAAAACCAAGATTAAAAAATGTTCACGATCTCAATATTTACCGTTACTAATATTTCATATATAGGTAATTGAAAGTAAAAAGATAACCTTATTTTACCACATCTCATTCTTCATATACATCCTGGGATTCTAGTTCCATTCGAAGATTCCTTCATTCTTTAACCACTAACATGTACATAAAATATCTTATTTCAATCCAAATACTAGAGAATTTTGTTGAGTTAAGTTGGTATTACCTCCTCTTAGGAACCTGCTGACGAACGGCTTGGGCGCTGGGACTTCTATCTTCGGTTCTATCTTGTTCTGGAACTTCTGCTTGAGCTGCTCCGTCGTGAAGGCAGCTCCAGTCGTGGACACCTTTCGGGCACTCTCCCCACCTGATCCATCACGTAGGTCACTCATCCGAATACAACACTTACCCCAGCACCCGCCGCATGTCTGTTCATTATTCTTGGAATCCGGATGTTTTAAATTTACTTGGTTCGGATTTGATTTGAACATTCGCAAAACTTGTTTTAGAAAATGCATTAAAACGTTTTTTACAAACTTGAAATAAATCCAGCTTGTCCAAGCATGCTCTCAGGGCCAAGGTGCTGGGGATTTACATAATGTCGTTTCGAGGTATTAAATTTCTTGGTTAGTTGTTGTGTACGCATTCTGGTGTTAGATTCAGGACATGCACGACGAACCAATGGTCATATTTACAATATATTTTATATTTCCATCATTAAAAACATTCTCCACATTCTGTTATGTATTGATCAGAGAGGTTAGGAACATGTTTGTTAATAACAAGATCTTGTTTGTAAGTGTTAAATGTAGATCATAAGATGATGTTTCTTTTAAAATAAAAACATATTTGATATTATTTATTTTGAAAGAGCTCAATGGATTCCATATTCCCTTCTTTACCTTACAAAGCTTTTAGGCTCTTTACTTTTCAATTTTACGCCAAAACTTTTTTAAAAAATCACTTTAATTTGAGGACAGATATTTACATACATAAAAGTAAAATAAAATAATTAATGACTGATTACAGTTCTCAATATTTTCATTTTCGTACATGACAATTTACAAAAGATAAAGTAATCCAAATCACAGGAAGCCAAAATTTTAGATACCATAATACTTTATTGTCTAAATTATAGTTCTTGAGAATGACATCATTCATCAGTCTGATTTTTAGTTATAGCTCTTGAAATGAGTAATTCTCTCATTCATTTTCAAGATTGGTTGAGATAGTAGGATTGACTATAAGCTACATTGAAGTTCTTTTTATTATGATGAACTCAGGAAATGTAATGGTTAGCGTTGTGTTATTTTCCTTTATTAAGGCTCTATAACTTCGAGTGGATGGGAGCCTTCTGTAGATAAAACCGCCAGTCATCTCTAGTTTTTTTAATGTCCTCCAGTTGCTATGACAAGGAATATTTTTGGAAATTTCATCCACACAATCCAGCTATCTTAACTTCGGTTTTTCCAGCTCTTTTATTTGTTCGAAGATTTTCTTTTAAGAAATTAGTTCATACTTAATCATTCGTTCGTTCTTGTAACATGTGCCCGGTGAAGTCTTCCAACATGAATAACGTGAACCACGTCTTCATCGCTGTAATGAAGCTTGATTTTTCTATTCGTACGCTGCCCTCAGACGTTATCAGTGAACGTTGACGTGGGACGAGGGTTTTCCTAGTAATTTTGATATTAATAGTCCGTCGTACAGATACCTTTTTATAACTATCAACGTCTGCCCGAAACTTCATCTCATTGTAAACTAAAAATATTTTATTTGCAAAAATTTTCGTAATTGGGTCGTTTTCAATCTACAGATGGGCGAACTTTGTCCATTTAATTACGTACTAAAAACCCATGAATACCCATTTGCTTTCCATTCGAATCGTAAGATAATATCATCAAGAAATCGAAATAAAAAGTGACCTAGAAGAATATTGGGCTGTTACGCCAATATTTTAACATTTTGTCGATGGAGGCTAGGCCAAACTGCCCAATATTTAGTAGGCCACTTTTTTTTTTTTTTCAAGAATGTGTTGATATTATCTTCAATTCAAGTGGTAAGCGATTGGTGAGTTTTTAGTACCTAATTAGATAGACAAAGTTTGTCGATCTCCAGATTGAAGACTCTTCAATTACGTGAATTTTAGCAAATGAAGTATTTGTAGTTTACGATGAGATGAAGCTATTTACGAAGTTTTAGACGGATGTTTATAATTTGATAAAAAGGGGTCTGTACCATGGACTAGTAGACTATACCGGCTGAACGGATGTACTGATTTCAATGAAACTTGTCTATTAAAACCCTTAAAATTTATCGATATAACATACTCCATATTGCCTCTAGTTTGAGAGTATAAACTTAGAACTTTCTGTAATTCTTCTATTTATGTTCCTTTCTCTTTGCTTCATATACCTCCATGGTTATAACTGAATCAGTGAATGTGATGTTTTTAATCAATATGTTTAAAATTTTTGAGAGATAAAAGTTGTAGTATTTTAAAATGAATTAGATATAAACTTATCAGTTTATGTTCATTGTCAAAACAGAGTTTGGTGATATTTCTTGTTTAAATGAATAAAAACACGAACAGTCAAAGGACAAGCTACTTTACAATTGTTAGTTAGGAATCATGGTTAAACAATTACATCATACATATGTACACATATTCAAATGGATTTGTCAAAAACACGTAAAATATACACACTTTGAAATATATATAGTTTTTTCTAATGAAGACTTCAGGAAATATTTCCTACTTTATAAGTTATATGTTCAATTGGATAACGAAAATAGATTTTAATGGAAAAAAAATCTTGAAAGTAAGATTTTCGAATTACGTAGAGCACATTTTATAAGATATTCACTAAAACTTTTTATGCTCATATCAGCATAAAAAAGAAGCAATCCCACGTTCGAATCATGGCTATAAATAGAAATGATTGCGTTATATCGTGCAACCACGTTTTTGTATAGTATTTATTAAGTGCATATCTTTCCCATTCAATAGTTTAAGAAAAACAAGGCGGTTGAAGTTAATACTGACCAAATTAATCCTCACTGTCAGTTTGATCCAAAATAATTTTTACCTTATCAAATAATGTTCTCAAAAATCCTAATTACTTTGTAGAAGAACAATTTTTATTTCAAGAAATTTTTGAAAATCTGCAATTTTATGTAAGCTGAAAACCTGAATTGGTATAGACAGTAGCGTCTAAACGAATGCACCGATTTAAAAGAAACTTAGCTAATGTCTTCTCCTCGTTGCCCTTTAAATATATGTATAGAGCATACTTTACTGAAAAGTACTTGAATTTCGGGACGGTGACCGAAAAACCTGTGTCGTGTCTAGCCCGTGGTACGGATTCCTTTTTATCCAATTATTAATGTCCGCCTAAAACTTCGTAAATACCTTCATCTCATCTTACAAATATTTTATTTACGAAAATTCTCGGAATTGGGGCGTTTTCAATATCGATAAACTTTGTCCGTTTAACTAGATACTAAGAACTTGTAAATATACATTTTCTTTCCACTTGATATTGTAATTTCATTTGAGCACAAAATCCAGAAAAAATGTGGACTTCAAAAACATTGAGCCGTCTGGCGTAACCTGCACCCCCAAATTTTCAAAATAACGAGGTTATATAGGCCAAACGTCCCAATAATTTGTATGCCACTTTTTTTATCGATTTCGTGATCAAATGTTTTTACGATACAAGTGGAGATCAAACGGTTATTTACGAGTTTTTAATACCTAATTAAATAGACCAGTTTGTCGATAGGTTTGTCGATCTCCAGATTGATTCCAAAAGGTTTCGTAAATAAAGTTGTAGGTTACGATGAGATGAATCTATTTACGAAGTTTCAGGCGGATGTTAATAATTTGATAAAAAGGGGTCTGTACCATGGACTATTAGACTGTAGCGCTTGAACTTATGTACCGATTTCAATGAAACTTGGCATCCTTTTGAAACCCATAAAATTTATCGATATAACATATTTAAAGGTAAAGAAGCCTGAAAAAAAGTTACGAGAGGTGGTGAAATTTCCGAATAACTCAAAAAGTATACACTTATTTTACATCACACATTGTTAAATTAAAAATCTATCTTGTTTACTTAGATTATTTAATACTTGTGTTTACTTAGATTAGATTTATTCACAGGTTGTTAGCTGCAAAATAATCAATCATCTCTAGCTAGATTTTAGAGATATTATATATATATACGCAGTCATAAAACTTGTTCAAATATTTTATATATAGTTATGCATGTCATAAAAACATAAACGTAAAAACTTGAAAAACTGTAAAAATAAAATGGTATGACAACACAAAAGCTCTGAGTTAGCATTTGATAGTTTTTATAATGTTAGAAAAATATGTACATAAAAATACAACAAAATAACATGAGAATGAAAATTTATAAGGTTATGAAAAATAACTTAAATTTACCCAAAATACCTGACGGTTGAGTGTGATCTCGGCCGAATCACATTCATGACCAACCGTCGGTCACAAACAGTACTTCCTTACAAAAAATTAACTTAAGACCCTCTTATGGATTTTAGTGGTTTACGTTTTTTTTAAACAAAATTTTGTAAAAACCACAGTTTGACATAATCGTTAAGAATAAATTATTTGTAAATAGTGAAATTCTAGAGAAGATAAAATACTTTTTCGTTAGATATAATATCAATAGAATTGACACCTATTCAAAAGAATAATGCTTTGCTTAAATTTCATCACCACCGCCCTAGCTTAGTGATGCTGACCAGGCTTAAACCATGGTAGAACCAATAAATTTCTACTTGTAATGGGTCTAGCTAAGATTGGCTAGTACACAACAAGCTAATCTCTTAAGGATCCAAGACACATTGCCTTCCGGTGTAAATATTCGAGAAACGAAGGAGAATAAGTTTAGGGTCCCAAGTTGTGGACGATGCTATTAGTTTTCTAAGATCAGTAAATAAAGATAATTTCCGTAGGTTAGGACAATTTTGAAACGTGATAGATACACCTCCATGAGTCCATTATGCTCTTTTAAGTTTAATAAACTTATATGTAAGTTTAATAAAACTATCAAATTATGAAAGTCCGTTAATATAACAATTACGTAATTTATGTGATCATCAATACAGAATTTGGTCTGATTATTTGGTGCTATTAAGCGAATCCACGAGAACTAATAAACTAAATACAACAACGTTAATGAAAACCGGTAAAGAACTACAGGTTAACTCGAAATAAACACGGATAAGACAAAATATATGGTTAGCTGCAAAAACGGCGATAATTCCGGTGATATCGATATAGAAGGAAATATATTTGAACAGGTAGAGAAGTTTAGGTATCTAGGGACTACGATAACTAGAAAAAACGAAATTGAAGATCAGATTAAGTTTAGGCTGAAGGCAGGAAATGCTCGTTATTTTTCTGTGCCAAAGTAATTAGTACACGCCTCCTGTCCCGGAACTTAAAAATTAGAATCTATAAAACCACTATCCTACCTGCGCTTCTTTATGGATGCGAAACGTGGCCCCTTACATCAAGGAATGAGCAACGTGTTAAGGTTTTTGAAAATAAAGTATTGGGTAGAATATTCGGACCGGACAATTCAGATATTTACAAAACGTCGAATTGCGTGAATTATATCCGGTTAAAATAATTTAGGTGATTACATCGCGGGATTGTAACATTGTTTGACTTAGTAACGAAAGAGGTCCTAAAAGGTTAATATTTGCTGTGTCAACTGGTAATCGTCCGGAGGGTAGACCGAAGCGAAGGTGGGAAAATTGCGTTATGGACTATCTGAAGAGACTGGGTTTGAAAGGTGACCAGTGGAGGGAGATAGGTAGGCAACGATTGATGGTGTCGGCATAGAACCTTCGGGTTCGCTAAGTCTTTATTATTATATAACCATTATAAATTTAACATAAAATATTAGCGTTTCGGATTCAATTCTAACTAACTAGTAACAGATTCTGTAATATAGTAATATACCTGAACGATTTGACTTACTTTGACAAGTCTTAAAGCGAAAAAGTAAAAAAAAATTGTGAATAATCCCTCAAACGAAAGTAAGTTGATATATAGAAGGTTAATATAACGATAACGAGAAATCACGCATTATTTTCCGAACAGTCCAATAGAATCCTGGAAGACAATAGATTCTATCACTCTACTGATGATTTGGCTATGGTTTCGAACATGGAGGGTATCCAGAAAGAGCGGGACTCGGGCCAGAGGAGAGAGAGCAGCTCCCGCCGGAAACAAAGGGTTGCACACAAAGGTGTTCTGTAATTGGGCGGAACTGAGGAATGGACTCGATTAAAAACCGATTTCGCCCACTGTGGAGGTCGCGGGGGGAGGGGAAGAGGGGCAATTAGCCGGATAAAGGAGGCTTTCCGTTTCCTCATTTAGCCGCCCTTCCTTTGCGTACTTTTCCAGAATAAATCAAAGTAATCTCTCTGCTACCTTTATCGGGGCCTTTAATCTCATCGATAATCGGATCTGAGGGGGAGGGAGGGGGGTCTTCCGGGGTCAGGGGCTACATTAGTTGCTCTAACTAAAGCTTTGAGGATAGATAATGGGGTGTGAGCGGCGACTTTAAAAGATATTCAGGAATTTTCTTTCTTTTTAGTTACAGAAAAACCAGGGGGTACTGGAGCGAAGTTCGGTGGTTTTTGATTGGTTGTTAACTATTGGCTATCCCAAGGTAACTTATTTAAATTGCAATATTATTTTTATTATGATATTATTCGAAAAAATCAATGCTTTAACTCTCTCGTAAAATATCTATCTAAGTTACTAACTAGCCCGTGTCTTGCCAAATCAAGCATCATCATGTAAAACTTACACCAACAGTCAAAAACTACTAAATAAACATAGACATTACTTTATGATGTGATGCTTTAATAGTATTGTCTTGATGTACTAACCCTCTTTGGTTGTAGATTAGTAGATACGAGATGATCGTCCTTATGATATTCGAAAAACTCAAGGGTTTGTTTATAATCTTCTAGTGGCATTGTAGTATCTAATAACACTTTTGAAATGGTAATTTTCTGCTTAAGACAAAATATAATCTCTAATATGGAATCTTTGAACATGTTATAAATTCATAAGTCTGTCTGAGTGATCATGAGCAGTATTCTAATTAAAATGCAAATTAGAAAAAAATAATTTGTAGAATTAACGTTTATTTTATAGGTTAAATGTCTATAGACAAATTAAAAAACATCCTTGATGGCAAGAACTGGTGGAGGCCTTTTTTTTATTTTTTTATTTCAGAATTATTTGGAACCAGTGAATGCAAAACTACGCTTAAATTATCCTTTAAACAATATGAATGAATAGATAATACCCTTAATCAGTGATCTACCATCCCTGCAATTCTTCTAGTATTTACTTTTATCGTTATTTAGTAGACAAATCTAATTAGTGCCAGACATTTTGTACACTATTATTCAAGCTTCCTACATCTTAGGAGTAATTCGAACTAATCGTTTTGAAACTACAGGCATGTCAGACCAAAGCGTCTACAGTTCCCAAAGCGTTACTTCACTTCCTTACTGTTACTTTTTAAAGTAATAAACGAAATTTGGAGAGATTGATACCAACTTGATCATTTATTTACCGATCCCCAACTTCCCTTCAGGCTTTGTGGCAATTTGAACATTAGGTTTTTGATAAAGGGACGTATCAATAAAAGACGTTTGCGTATATATTAGAAAAAAGTTGTGGGAGGATTTGAATTAAATTGGCTCATAAAAATTTTTTTTAAAATACAAAAATTTCTTTCAGCTATGGCTCAGATCGAACGAGCCGTTTCAGAAATAAAGTAATTTATAAAAAAAAATGATTTAAGCTGGCGTAAGCGTAATTATGGCATAGCAATTTGATTAAATTGATGCGAGACCATCTAAGCACCAATCCATACCCAGTCACGGAACGAAAATTGTTAGTTGACATTTGAAATGTTCACCACGAGTGGAAATTTTCGATTCTTAGTACAACTTTTTTTTTAACATCCCGCACAAATACACATCTTTCCTATCAAGCAAAAACAAAACGATTTTATATTTTTTAATTGTATATATCTGCTTAGTGTTATGAGACAGCTTTTCATATATGATTTTATACAAGTGTGTGTTATCAAAGAAGCTTCTACTTGCTACAAAACTACTCAAGGCAACAGCTCTACATATCGATAAGTATGAAATCGATCTATCGAACCTGTGGAAGGAGTGTCGCTGGCAGTTGAGGACCTCCTGCTGAGTTGCTGCGGCTGCCTCGTCACTGAAGTCTTCCTGGACCCAGCCGCAGGTGACTGTTGCTGGCTCGACTCGTCGCTGGACTCGCTGCTCGAGCCGCCCTGTAAACAAACCAAATATATTTATAATAATAATTATAATTGTTCCAGAGTGGAATTTTTTCCAAGTTAATAGGTGAATATTAAGTAATATTAAGGTGAATAAAAAAATATTATAGGTTAAATTACATCCCTTCTTTAACACATAAAATAAAATAAAATATTTAATGAAAATAATTGCGAGATAAACACCGGTTCATATAATCAAAACAAGATAAATAAATATCTAAGTCCAATGAAGGATATGGTAAATAAATTGAAACAAAAATACGTAGTATACAAGGTGGATTGTAAGAATTGTGAAGCGACATACATTGGTTAAACAAAGCAAAATATGGAGAAAAGGATGAATCAGCATCTTAATGATACAAAAAATAGTAAAACTGACTTGATTTTAAAACCGATGCGGCTAAAATGGGGAGTCTCTATGCTTATCTTATAAACAAATTAGATATATAAAAATAAATATAAGAATTGGAGTTTGAACTCATGCTCAAAGTTTAATTTTCAGAATCTGACTAGGCTCTCCCTAGAGGAGACTAAAATAGGATTTCTAGGTAATAATTTCAACATCGAAAATAGTTAAATACATATAATAATAATAATAATTAAATAAATAATAAATTTAAAATTAATACATTTCAGCAACAGGACAATAATAAAGCAATTTAATTAATATGACAAGTCTTATGGAGAATAAGATGATGCAGGATACTGGTAAGATTGGCAAAATAAAATTAAAATTAAAATATTGTTTCTTTGTAGTTATATTAATAAATGCTATATTTGTTTATAATTTTTGATAGCGATATGTTGTAATTTCTAGACTGAAGATGGGATATAAGTGGATCCCGAAACGTTATGATGTAATGATGTGATTGAGTGGAATGAATGGGAGAATAAATCATTGGAAACAAATATTCTTACTTATATATTAAGTGATATATTTATAATTAAAAAAAATAATTATAAAAAGTCGACTGTCATCATCGACAGTCTTTGATTACGATTAGCATTGCTGGGCAATGAAAGAAAATGTTATGCTTACAGTTCGAAGGAAAACCATATTTTTTTACTAAGAATAGACCTTTTTATTCAAATAATTTCAATTTATCAGTTAAAAATGTAGGTAATTTACGAATTTATAACATTTTATCAAATTTAAATTTTACTTTTTTTTTCAATTTAACTAATTTGATTTATTACCTCTCCGATTATCAAAATAGGTTCTATTCTATTCTGTCAGAACGTTAAATTTATAAAATTTAATTTCATACAATAGATGTTCGAACATAAGGATACCGAAATTACTACAGAAGTATTAGCATCATTTAAAATTATGTAGTTCTGTAAATATAACAAATTTTAGAATATTTAAATGTATGTTTTTGTTATTATCAACTCTGTTTGAACTGCTGCCATGGAGTATTAATTATGGATATAAAAAAAAAGGTATCTAACTACGTAATCTTTACTAAGTTGCTTTAAGTTGGTAAATTTGCTAGGTATACCTCTTTGGACTCAAAGGCTATAACAGCCTTTCAGTTGACGGAATGACTAACTCCAATTTTACCATTTTTGAGAAGTCATTTTAGTGATATTTATAGTTGGAAAATGAATACCTTTATTCGCAGTTCTATAATCAACTATTCTGGAATTAACTTACTCACTGTTTGTACAGATATTACATGGTTTCTTATTTGTTATTGTTGGGCACAATGATTTTTCTTTATCAATCATCAAAAAAATATCTCACTATGATTCTGAAGAGTTGCCAGCAGAAGATTTCATCATTATTTACCTCATCAAAAGCAGTGTTTTCTGAAGGTACTTATTCTCTATTTATTCTATATTAAAGTACTAGTTCAAAAATGCACCGCATGGCTCGTGGATCAAGATCACTTAGATCACACTTGTGTATGGAATGCCGATAATAAGAACTAAATACATGGATAAAAAACTAGTCTCTTATTTGCAGTATTCTTCTGTTTTGCTTCGTCAGCCAATTACTAACCTAGTGTTTTTTTTTATTTTTATTCAATTTCAATTATATTTATATATCTTATTATTAATTCATGAATGTACATTAAATATTATTGATTATACAATTTATTCCAATTCTAGTAATACCTAGAGCGTTAGACCAGACAAAAACAAGGGTAGGTTATTATATAATAACAACAATCCAAAGAGGATTTAAAAACAAATAACTTTACATTCAAGTGACGTCACTGTTTACAAATAGTTCTATTGTTTTTTCTTTTCCGTCTTTTTTTCTAAATACAGGCATGATTTTCTTGTTGGTTATCCAGAGTGGGATTTATTACGTGAAATTTGTTAAATAAAAGTTATTCCTTATTCAACATTACTATTTTTTTTTTATTGTTATACTATATTAAAAATACATTTAGGCCCTATCCATACTAGGCTGCTCTTAAATACATAACATATGAAAAGTATTACGGAATATATCGAAATTTCAGTATCAAGTAGATTACCAATAGTAAACCAAAAACATACGAAGTTTAGTCTATTTAAGCCCTAGAGAGATATTCCAGCCAACCAACCCTTATGACAAATAAATCAACTTGTCCGAAATGAGAATTAATATTTCTTGTTCTGTGAATGTTGTAGATGGTTATAGAGGTTGGGATATGAGGCTTTTAAATTTTCAACTTAATTTGTGTATAATATTTTCACCAGATAATTATTAATGTTGTCTCACTGATTAAAAATTTAAACAGAATTAAATATATTTAAAAATGATTTTTATTTAGCTTGTATTAATACTAAACATCTACTTTTTAGAAAGATAAATATTCCGGTTCTCAGAGGAAATGGATTTTGATGAATGATTAAACGAAAGATAATTTCAAAACTTAAAACCTAAAACAATAATAATAAAAGTCATCGACAAAAGTAGAAGGTTATTAACTCCGATATTGGTCAAGTCGATGGATCGACATAAAAATTGCGATTTAAAGATATCGACGTGGACACCAAGATTCGATTAGGTTCATTTGGAACGTACCTGGGCTATATTTGAAATCCCTGAAATCTACCGTTTTCGATATAAACCTCCTTGGTACCGTGGTGTTGTTTAGGTTTTTGAAAAGTAATGTATTACTTTTTTTTTTACAGTTTACTACAAACTAAAATTATATTGAAAAGGTGCATTGCGTGGGTATCCCGTAAGTAGAGGGAAATATTTAATAAGTTGACATAAAAATCTACAGAAAAGCTTTTATAAATAATTGCTCAATTTTCTGCAGAAAAGTAGAAAATTTAAGATTTGTATTTTTTTCAAGCGAGTCACGTTTTTTTGTTAAATAGGAAGCGATAAATAAAGACATTTTTGATTTAAGGAATAAAAAATTGCTCGATCGTAAACTAGACTAAATTTACTTCAAACAAAACTAGACGATATGATTTTCTCGAGTGAAACGTTTCAATCCAGGGAACAACAGAGACCATACCACCGCAAATGTATTTGCATATGATCTACGATTTTTCTATTTTTGTACTTTTTCTTTGACTATTTTTAAAAAGAGGAGATCAATACAATTTCTTTGGAGTGAGGGGGAGTTCATGCACCATCGACCTTGGGAAGGATGGGCACTCCTGCTAATACTTGACAATTTTAGTTACTGTGTGTAAAGAATCGGTACAAACAATATACTTTTGAATTTAACTCTTCCAATTTTTCATTCGGGCTTAGTTAGGTTTCCCCTATCTGAAAAATTACTGTAATATCTCTATAGGTATATGCTAATAAGTAACTGCAAGACTGTTGCGAGACTCTTGCGCAAGACCAAGACCAAGAACAAGACTGAGTGTCTTGTCTCGCATTTGGGCAACACTATTCAGCACCGGACTTTAGACATAATATCTCAAAGTTGTCCTTTTGTTCATATGCCATATTAATTCTTTATAATATCCTTCATGATCGAGCCATCATTTTAAAGATAATAATCTTTAAAAAAAGTTATGGAGGAAAGGAAATTGCAAGTAAAAAGTATATTGTTTATGGTTGATTATACTCATGACAATCAGAAAGATTTCCGAATGAGGAAATTGAAAAAATAAATCATAGAAGATGGACCATTTTGTAGCAAATATGTAGCAAATCGTAATTAGTATACATATTAAGGTCTATTATTTTAAATGAAAATTAATTCTTTGCTATCATAACGCATTATATTTATGTATTCCCATATTGTTAATTGTCCACAATATATTATATAATATTTATATAAAAAGACAATAATATAACTACCTGGACTATAGAGCTTCATGAATAATGCTTAAAAAGTTTGAAGAAATCAGTATTCAGTCTATAAAATGGTAAAAACCTTTAAGCCCCAGACAGAAGTTCTCCCGATGGGTAGTTGTGAATACTTATCGACTCGGAAAGTTCTCTTCATCGGCCCCGCCCGATCTTGAAGGCCGGTCAGATATTTTAAAGTTTAATCACTCGCTGACTGTTGGCAGCACTGGAGGAGGAACGCTTTGATCAATGGCCACGCTCATCAATCCAGCCCTCATTGCAGATGGATGCCAGTCACCCTCTCATCTAAAAGGGTTTTCTCTTAGCTTCGTCTGGAGTGGATTACGGTGGTTTAGAAGAGTGGTTCGAGAGGGTCCAATCGAAATTTTCGTATTTTATGTGTAAAAATAAAACTCTTTGCCATACGCTCAGTAATTCAAAAATAGAACAGATTCAAATAATCCGTACATATATTATTACAGTAAGGCTCGAAATCGGTTTTATACCAAATATAAGCTCCTGTCATGCTCAAATACCACGAATGGGGTACCGTTGGATTCAGAATTTCACAGGGGGTTAGCGAATCGTATTCTCCTCTTTTGTTTTTCTCTCTAAAATAAATAAAGTCGATACAAACATGTTGCTAGGCTTCGATACTGGAACGGTGGTAGATCGATGCGGGACAAATAGGACCTTGAAGATTTTGATGCGTACAGCAAGACCCGGATAGTTCCTT